ACGCCCTCTTGCTTGCAAAGCCATTTGGATTCCAACAGCGACTCAATGTTAATTACATAAGGTACAATTTGGAATGGCAGAGTCTATCGGTTTTAGTCTATGTAATGAACGAAAATGAATGGGAACAATAAATTGTAATCCTGGAAAGGGACTGCCAAGAATACTTATGTAGGACTCGCTGTATTATGCAAGATGTCATATTTTCATAGCCGCATTACCTAAATGGAAATGAAAGAAGTTTCATAAAAAAAGGAGAGAAAGTTGTATGAAATACTAGCTGTATCCGCGGCTTCACCCACGAGAATTAGCATATAAAGTATCTTATGTACTAAATTAAGATATAATCTGTTTGTGTACCAAACTTCATTCAAATCCATTTAGTAGTTTTTGCGTAAAAGAGTAACAAACATCCATCTATCGTTACAATATTTCGCATTTATATATTAATAAGTTTGGAAATAATCCAAGTTAATAAACTATAAATACAGTAGTACAAAGAGAAGAAAAACTCAAAACAAAACACTATATCAAACTGTTTAGCCATCATAGTATTGCTATGTAAGTTGTATAGTAAGTTCATTCTTGCGTTAATAAACCTAATAAGTCGATAATAGGTTCATTAAACAAATATACTAGTATACTCTATAATGACAAATGTATGTAATGTAATGTATTAAAGTTTATTCAAAGTCAGCAATGCACTCGTGACATCCCTAGTTTGCAACTTGCAGGCATCCATAGGCTACAGTGACCGTTTACCATCAGACAGACTGTATACTTGTTTGCTGCCAAAAAAAAAATAATACAGCACCAAAACGGAAGTAATCCGAAGTAGAAAGTGAAACTGCTATATTTTATTTTAAAAATCAATTAATGGAGAATCAATTTTGATAATTTTTAATACGAAATTCGAATTTAATTTAATACGAAATTTTTTTCATCTTGGTCAAATGTCAATTTAATTTCAAGTAAATTATTCCAAGTAAAGGAAAAAAGACACAAGGGAAATTAAATTATTATAAGGTATATATATAGCATAAAAGGCGAGCACAAAAGATCATGGAAATGTCGCAGTGGCTTTTCTGCCTGAAAAAAAAGTCCGTCTTTCAATAATAATAATAATATATAGCACAGATACAAACATTTTAACACTTCATCCTTTAAACCATTCGAAATTTAATAATGTTGCCCACATTAAAAATTGTTGCTAGCTGCAACATAAACAATACGAGTATACACCGGGCGATTCGTAATCCGCCTTTATTCGCTCTATGTAAATTGTTTTCTTCCATTCGGAAAGCCCAGTAAAACAATAACGAACTGGGCCAACATAATATTTCTCCATTCTGTTCTGTAACCAAATAGGGCGAAACAGGAAGTCGGCCGTTAGCACTGTAAAAGTCGTCGCGTTCACCGAATCGGGAAAATAATGACACTGTACTATACGATGGTTGTGTTAGAGAAAAGGTTGACGTGAGAAAAACGAGGAAGGGAGAAAAAGATGAATAATTTGATCTGATTGATTTTAACAATGCGAATAATAGACGTGAAGAGAAATTGTTTGTTGATTTAACACAACAACAAGTTGCCAGTTCTAGTATTTAGCGAATGTAGACAATAATATAATTATTCTGTTTTACTGTGAAGATTGTATTGGAAACAAAAGAGCCAAAGTCGAGTAGGGTGTAAAAGATAAATAGATTGATCAAAGAGAAAAAGATAGATTAATTTCAGTTAAGTTGAATAATGGAGTTGCAGAATATCTTTTTTTGGTTTAATTTATATTTCTCGTAAAGAATACAGAGTGAAAGAAACAGGATGTCGATCGTTAACAATATTGCAACAGTCCTCGTATTCACAGAATCGGGAAAATAATGACACTATACATAGCGATGGTAGTTGTGCAGACAAAAATGACATCGGGGAAAAAGTAAGCGTTAAAATGGGAGAAAAGTAAAATATGGTATGGAGTGATTTGAATCTTTCAAATAATTGAGATGAAGAATTTACTTCTATTGACTTTAACTATTTTGTTGTTATATTTACTAACTTTTAAAAATAATGGTCATTAATATATTAAAATACAATGTATTGATTTGAAAATAAAAGATCGATATTGGCTAAAATGATAATAATAATAATAATAATAATATAATTTATTTGCTCAAATATGGAGGATGTTACAAATAGATTACTATATTTTACCATAAATGGCGTGCAAATCTTCTCTTAATATAAATATTACTCAATTTCATATGTCACAATGTCTTCATTATAATAGATTACAGAAAAAAAAGAAAAAGAATGACGTTGAACTAGGAGGAAAAGATCTAATGTTTTTAATATAGATTACTTTAACAAGCTCAATAATAAATAAAAAAAGTCTATAGACTTTAAATTCATCTTTGAGCATCCTAGAATAAAAATTATATACAGAATGAAAATTATTAATATCCTTTTAAGAGAGTACTCTAAAACTGACTATTTCCCCCGAAGAGACATATGCGGAAAAACAACAAAAACATTTTGAGCTTTCCAAATTACTTACGTCACTTAGTTGTCATATTAGTATGAGAGAGGTGAGAATTTTTTCGGAAGGTATTCCGTTTTACTAGTAGACCACTCTATGAAATGGATGCCAATCCGAATGACAGGAGAACGAGGAGTAATATATCATCTAACTCCCATTAGAAGGAAACGCGGAATACTACATCTTTGTAATTATGCAACCTATCGCATGATCCATGAAACATGTTAATTTGTGTAGAATATTAACTAACTTCCTAATCTAATATCTCATATTAGCACGTAGTAGTAAAGAAGAAATGGAAAACTGATTTGAACCTATTAAATAATAGAGATGAAGAGTGTACTTCTATTGACTTTACCAACTTCTTTACTATGTTTACCAACTATCAAAAACATGGTAATTATTATCTTAAAAGAAAAATTATTGAATTGGAAATAAAAGATCGGCATCAGCCAAAAATAGCGTTGAATAGAAAGGAAAAGACCAATGTTTTAGATATGGGTTACTTTAATAAATTGAATAATGAAGGAAAAAAATAAACGTCTATAGATTTTAAATTCATTGAGCAGAATTCTAGAATAGAAATTATAAACAGAGTGAAAATTGTAACTAGTTAAGATGTAAGACTCACCATGTAAATCTGAATTATACCTCCTCAAATATTTTCCCCAGTACGAGAACATAGAGTAAGAGGAAATGCTGATGATTTATATTTCAAATTGTACAGATCAACAAAAAAATCGAACTTACCCGGTCCGCACGAAATTCGCCATATACAGAATGAACGCTTCCGATAACGCCACTTCGGATTTCGTATAGTTTTTCGGGAAATGTCCAAGTCCGTCCACCAGGGGTGCACCGAACAAATACGGCAATTCTTCTCCGTGGACGGAGCCCATTCGCTAAAATTGAATTTCAATTTTAAATTTCTGTATTGGATATTGCACCAATATCGTACGTTTCCGATGTTTATCTTGTAGTTTATAGCGACTGAATCCGAAATGTAGCTTTTCAAGTTATCTATTGTTTGTCTATGAATTATTTGATGAAACCGTTGCTATGTTGCTTTTGAAATCGATAATAAATATACGAATAAAATGAACATTCTTTAGCTAGTAACTATATAAAGGTTGTCTAGAACAGATTGTATTACTAATAAGATTATCTTTTGTACTTACAATTATTTATAATCTTTTCTCTTTTATGTTTTATACGTCAGTAGTATTCATATCTATTTTTTCTTCTTCTAATGAATTTTTATTTGCCTAAGTTTAAGTATTAGCATTATTATTAAGTACCATAAATAAGTTTAGATTTACCTGTGGATAATCTCCGTCCTTCGTCTGATAGTCGAATACGTAGAAGAAAGTGTTCGGCCCAGAATCAGGCGAGCTCTTCGCGACGCTTAGAAAATCCCCTGTTTGAACTAACGGAGCTACGTACTGGGCATCAGAGATCGCTAGAACAGCCGCATCTCTTGTGTTTATTGGATGCTGTAAGAAAATAAAATATTAAAATAACAAATAGTAAGCAATATTTCTGTGCTTATATAAAAGTGTTTGAGCAAGTCAAGAGTTATCTAAAGCGACGTATATACTTATATGAGACGTTATGAAAGTGGATAAAGCCGGAGATGTATCTATATAGGTTTATTTTAGGTATTATTTGCTTACTTCCCTAAGCTCATCGTAAGTTTTGATATATAAAATACAGATATATTGAAAAACAAATGAATATTTATTACGTGAAGGAGTCTATTTCAATTGGGAATTAAATATACTTCTTCATATAATTATTATGAAAAAAAAAATAATGAAATTATCAAAATAGGATTCAAATAAATCAAATGAAAAGAGTAATCATAATCGATACAAAATTAGAAAAGATATCGAACATAATATCAAATATGGGTGAAAAGAGGTAATCAAATACACTCGGAGTACAAAGGGTGATAAATGAGAATGAAAACAGCCATTAGCCCATCATGATGAATTCATCAGGAATTAACCATGATAGTTTCCAGAGAATAGGAGGTTGGTTGGGTATTTTTTAATCGTTTTACTAACAATCAATGTCCCCCTAAGCTGTTGTGTTGTCCAGGCATAGAATGAGTCACCATTTCCTTTCTCGTGACTTTCGCAAGAGACGACTGAAAGAACTTAATAGTCGAGGGATGGACAGCGGCGTCTCTCGTAAAGCATCAACCAAGCCTAATTACAATTGCCAACCTGCCTGCCAAACGTGGCAACTACTGGCAAAACTCCCCACTAGGAGGAAGCCTCTGCTCACTAGTGTAGAGTTAGCAACTGACATAATATTAATAATAATTTATGAACAAACAATTTATGGAAGGCCAAATCTACAACTATTTTTTTTTATACAACTTAGAATGGCAAACAAGCTGACGGCCCACCTGATGTAAAGTGGTAACCGTCGCCTATAGACATGAGCAGTATCATGGACATAACATGCGTTGCCATTCCTGAGGACTCAGGTGTTATTCCTTTGTACCCAGTAAATTCACGCCATATCCCACCCTTCAAACCGAAACACAGCCATGCAAACACTTATTATTATATAAATGAACAATAACAATTAAGTTCCGAATAACAATTGACAAAAATGAAATATGTCAATTTATAAATAATTCATGTTGTATTCACAAAATATGTTCGGGCGCTGCGTGAATTCCTCGATAATTTAATATTGACTTGCATAAGCACGTGACCGAATTTCATATTTATTATTTATATCAAAACGTTATAATGTCAATAAAATAAAATAATGCCAATAAATTTATATTCTTAACGTGATGAAATGAATATTGATTGGAATTTAATAAAAGTATGTATAAAATAAAAAAATTACATAAATTATTCGTACAATTATTGGAATATTGAAATTGTATGCATTAATGAATTGTGCTGTAGTTATTGTTAGAGGTCCGTTGGAACGTTTAAAAATTAAATGACACAGTTTTTTGATTAACAAGAGGGTTCTCAATATTTTTTTTTTGTGTTTTCAATTTCGTGTCTTTCAAAAAGAAGGAAGTTCTCAAATCGGTTGTATATTTTTTTTTATGTTTGTTATCTCATAACTCCGTCAGTTACAAACCGGTTTGAAAAATGCTTTTTTTTTTTCTCAAAGGATTTACTTATAAATTAGTATTATAGAAATATTATTGAAATCGATTTAATAGATCAGTTTTTAGAGTGGAAAAGGATTGTTAGTCAAATAGCCCCATTACTAGCAATATACCCTGTGAGGTAGACCTCCACGCATGGCTCCCCCCTGGAAACCATCGTGACTAATTCTAGTTGAATTCGTCAGGATGGGCTAACTGACCTGCTTTTATCCTCATTAGTCATCTATCACTGATGCCCCGCCATTGTATACCGATAGCGCAGACGGGGTTACCATACCATTATCACCCATTAAAAAAAAAAAATTCAGTTTTTAAATTAAAAAAATTGTTTTTGCCACATTTGAAGAATATTACATTATTGTGTGTATTTTATGCTATATTTTCTCAAATTATGAACCAATTTTATTAATTCTTATCGTCATCTAGTGTTCACATCCATGATAATCCCATATTATTTAAAAAAAAAAAAAATCATCACTTTTAGGTCCTGTAAAATTCTGCTTATTTCGAAACAAAATTGGCTTGCAAACAATTCTGCATTCTAAATTGAAATTTAATTAATTCTAATATATTTCCAAATTATCACATCATTTATAGTTTAGTATGTTTTTTGTTTTATTTTAAAATAACACCGAGTCTTACCAGTCATTTTCAATTATACCTTTATTGAACTAACTATTTCTTTGGGAAGGAAAAATCTACTTGAAGCATTATGAAGGATATACTTTACACAATCCCTGGGGAGAGCTACGGCTGCCTTATAAATCTCACAAAGAATTTAATCAGAAAGAAAAATGGGGGAAATGCAAAGAAACAAATAAATTGAATTCCCTTTAAACAAAGTGAGTGACAGTGGAAAGAAGTAGGTACCTAAATTAAAATAAAGTCATAAAGAGACACGAGCCGAGTCAAACTTTACTGCCTCAGTTTATTTAATGTTTGTGGTAACTTATTTCACTTCATGGCAGGTATTTTATGGGGTTGGCAGAGAGGATTAAGTTGCAAACATCGATTTCCTGAGGGAAACAATTCTTAGAAGTATACAAGTTATCAAGTATATTTCTAGCAATATCAGGTCGAACTTCACGTGGTTCTTTCTGGAAACCACGATGGTTAGTTCTTGTCGATTTTATCACGATAAGCCAATTGACTTGCTTTCCTGGTAGCCCAACATTGTATACCGATAACGTAAGCAGAGTTGCTATTCTATTTTCACCTATAAAAAATTTTGCAGACGTTGGGCTTAATACCCGAGATGACGTAAAAGCACTAGGAATGGCGTAAAAGTATCAGAAGGGCTGGCACCAAGTAGAAAAATAGCCAGAACATCGACTGATTTAGAAATCAGAGGAAAATTTTGTACAAAAGTCGCCTGTTTGGATACTTCTGTCTCATTCGTGTTTCAACCGTGAAGCAGTTGTGTTTGCATGGCTGTGTTTCGGTGTGAAAGGATATGGCAGTAAACTTACTGGGTACGGCGGAATAGCACCTGAGTCCTCAGGAATAACAACGCATCGGGGGTATCATGAACGAAACAGTATACTCTGTTATGTACACGGTACTAAACCTAAACACAGCCCAGCTCCAGTTGGTATGGCAGAAGCACAAGTGCGACCGAGTACTCAAGCAGACAACTTCTGTACAAAGTCTCCCTCTCGTAGCAATCAGATACAAATAGTAAATGCAAATAAATCAGGCAAATTGAGAATGTTTTTTGGAAGTCGCTCATTAACTTTTTCAGCAAAACAACCTCAGGAAATTATTGCACCAAAGCGTGTCATAAAATAGGTAAGTAAAATATGCATATACAGATCTCACAATTGTAACCAAATACAAATACAATACTGAAGTTTCTGAACTAAAATTTGAAACATGTAAACGATATGATCGGAATAAAGGAATTTGGCACGTCCACATTTGCAATGCAGTGCCAAATCATCGTGGCAACAGATGCTAAAATGACATTTAACTAGTATGCTGCAAAAGTATTTTATGCATAAAATTTAAAATTCCGTCTTTTATTCCAAAACGAATAATGAAATGTTAATGAAAATTTAACAAAATTTTATACAATAGCAAAATATCTCTTGTATCTTGTAAGTCGTAATGATAAATGATTATGAATAAAACAATTATATTATTGCAAGGATTGCATTATTGTAAATTCAACAAATAACATAATTCCAGTTTCCCTATACTAATATTATAAAGAGGAAATATTTTATTGGTAGTTTGTAATGGATGAAACTCAAAAACTACTTAACCGATTTTAAAAATTCTTTAACCTGTTGAAAGTTACATTATCAGCGAATAGTATAGGCTATATATTATTTTCGAAAACTTTATTTACTTGAACGAAACGGAGCCCGTTTTGTAGTTAAAAAAAAAAAAACATAAAATATGTTTTAAATAAGTCGATTATTGTGAAGCAGAACCCTATTTCATTAATATCGGGTGAATGAAAGAAAGAAAGGAACAAATATTTTTATAAAAGCAAACTTAGATTTTAACGATTTTGAATAGTCATTTTTTTCGGACGTAATTTCAGCCAAGAAGAATGGGCAAGAAACTCAAATGTGGTTTCGGTGATTATTATAAAGCCATATCGTGGGATAAAATTCTTATATACTAGTTTAGTATTCTTAGTAGTATTCTTATATAAAAAAGAAGTAAAAATGACTAACCTCTTATTTAAATTAATATAATATTGTACACTTACTTGAACAGTTCTCTCCCAATCTGTATATTCATTGACTATCGTGAAGAATATTTCACTTAAATGATATGTGTAGGCATTCCTCACGTATGTCCTGAAACGAAAAGATATCTTTTAAAAGTATTCTCCGAAGGAAATATTTGAACTGGATGGATAAAATACAATTCGTCTGGAAATCAGCTTTTGTCCGAGACTTGGATCCTAATTATATAAGTTTCCATTTTTATTACATAAATCCTGGTTTTATAGTATGTTTTATTTATTTATATACTTAAGTACGTTCAGGTTATAATGAAAATATGCCTAGGCGGACTTATCCCTTGAAGGGATTTCTTCCAGTCAACCTTGGGCACCAGAAAGGAAAAATATATATAAAATTTGTATATAAAACATAACTTATATGGCGCAAAAATAATATAATAAATAAAAAAATGTGTTATTAATAGCTATATATTTAGTAACTGCTTGTGGACACAAAAGATAAATAAAAGTTTTTTTTTTATGGGTGAAAATGGTATGGTAACCCCGCCTGCGCTAATGGGATACGTTGGCGGTGCACCAGTGAAGGGTGATAAATGAGAATGAAAACAGGCCAGTTAGCCCATCATGATGAATTCATCAGAAATTAACCATGATGGTTTCCAGGGAGAACCGCGAGAAGGTCGACCTGGTTGGGTATATTGCTAGCAATAGGATTCTCAGTCTCCATTACAAACAATCCCTTTCTCCCCAATAAAAGTATATTAATATTTTATATTTAATTGAGCTCTGAAAGTATGAACGGTTTGCGCTATTCTAATAAGATCTGGTACCCTTTTACATTATGATATAAATGTTATAAGGCAGTAGTGATGGAAACCGGTAACCATTGTCAATACATGTAAACAGAACTATAGAATTTACATACGAATTTTACCATATGGTCCCGGTAAAGAATGGGCTATCCTTTCCTTTCACGTGGGTATCGTAAGAAGCAACCAAGGAAATTTAATGGTCGAGCGATGAGCAGTAGCGACCCTCTTAAAATAACACCAAGTCGATTGCTTGGGTATCTCTGACCCATTCGTGTTTCAATCGTGAAGCAGTTGTATTTGCATGGCTGTGTTTCGGTTTGAAGGGTGGCGTGTGAAGGATATGGCGTGAATTTACTAGGTACGGAGGAATAACACCTGAATCCTCAGGAATGGCTACGCATGGGGGGTATCATGGGCGACACAGTATACTGTGTCATGTCTATAGGCGACGGTTACCACTTTCCATCAGGTGGACCGTCAGCTTGTTTGCCATTCTAAGTTATATAAAAAAAAACTGCAGTTGCAAACCCGCCTGCCAAGCGTAGCAAATACTAGCAAAACTTCCTAAGGGGAGACCTATGTTCAGCAGTGGACAGTTAAAGGCTGATATGATGATACGTTCAGATTGCTTCCATAGAAAATTCGTCAATCGGTCCCATAGTTCAGTTTATACATCAAAATAGCTAAATTTGTTTCACGATCGAAATTGGTATTTTTTTGTGTAACAAAATGTATTCATTTTTGCCTACTATTAATATTCGTACATTTTCAATTATAAACGATATTAAAGGCCTTTCTGCTTTTCTACTAAAATGTATCGAAAATTTGTAATATTTCATTTCAATAAACGGTATATAATAACCTTTGTAATTAAACATACGTAGGAATTGGAACGCAAATGTTTTTGAGATTACGTTTGATTCCCTTATAAAAATAGCATTCAATTCTTTTTGTATCTATTTACGTAAAAAATATTTTCTCAGAAATACATTTATATACTTTAAATATATACCAGAGGGAGATTTTGTACAAAAGTGGTTTGCTTGGGTACCTCTCTCGTATTCGTATTTATGCCGTGAAGCAGTTGGGTTTTTTTTGATGGGTGAAAATAGTATGGTAACCCCGCCTGCGCTAACGGGATACGCTGGCGGAGCACCAGTGAAGGGTGATAGATGAGAATGAAAACAGGCCAGTTAGCCTATCATGACGAATTCATCAGGAATTAATCATGATAGTTTCCAGGGGGAACCGAAGGAGGTCGACGTGGTTGGGTATATTGCTAGCAATGGGATTCTCAGTCTCCATTACTAACAATCCCTTTCCCCCCGAAGCAGTTGGGTTTGCACAGCAGTTTCGTTTTAAAGAGTGGGATATGGCAATGAAATTACAGGGTACTAAGGTATAATACCTTAAACCTCAGGAATAGCAATGCATGATGAGGAGTATCATGGGCGACAGAATTTGTTATGTCCATGTCTAAAGGCGACGGTTACCACCCATCAGGTGGACAGTCAGTTTATTTGCTATTCTAAGTTGTATTAAAAAAATGTATATAGAATATAAAAATAAGATACACAAACACAATGACTAAGTAAAAACAAATGTATAACTTGCAATTAATCATTTGATAAATAATTTAAACGATATTAGCTACCTATCAATAAAATTTTGCTATACCAAAACAAAATTCATGTACTTCGTCTACATAAGAACATTGTAACATCTCTATATTATGTACATGAATGCATTATAATAAATAAATAAATAAAAATACAATAAACATGTTTAAATGTAAATATTAAATATCATAAAATTGTATAATACGAAATTATACATTTTTGTACAATATAAATTTCATATGAATGTTATTATGTACGTAAATACCAATTTGAATTACGAACTGCTGTATTGACCGAATAGAGTCAGAAGCATTTATTTGAAATACAGGTATTAATTAGGTATAATATCTACTGGATTTGTTTATATTATACTGATATTTTAATTTCATACATATTTTATTTTTAGAAAGGTAAACGAGCTAAAGGTCTACTTCATCACCATCATCATTTCAGCCATTATTCATCCACTTCTGGAGATAAGCCTCCACCATAGACTCCCATAAAGAACGGTCCTGAGCCACCTGCATCCACTGACACCTTGCAATGCATTTCAGGTCGTCACTCCATCTAGTGGGGAGTCGTCCTACATTGCGTTTGTCAAGAATGATTCTTCTATGTGACCAGTCCATTGCCACTTCATCTTGCTTGTCCTTTGAGCTGTGTCGGTTACGTAGTTATGTTAAAGGCCTACTTAATAAGAAGTAACTGTTACCCATGAAATGCAGCATGAGAGGTGATATATATATATAATATTTTAATTACAATATCTATATATAGGTTTAATAACAAATATGTTAAAAATGTGTTATATATATATATAGATTTCTATATATATATATATATATATATATATATATATATATATATATATATATATATATATATATATATATATATATATATATTAAAAGAAAGGATTAATTTATTTCTTCTTTAAAAAATATAATATTCCAGTTAAGTAAGCTACATTGGTTTTGTACGTTGATTACAGAATAGTTTCAACTACCAGCAAACAAAGGTCAAGGGCCTTTCATTAACGGTCATTCCTATGAAGACGTCTCTAAGACCCTTGCTTCCGAACACCAATTTACTGAATAAACATTGACCTCACCTTATTATTCTATCCCTCCTCTCGCCCTCAAATCCATTTTGTATGTCCTGAGCTGAGAATTTCCAAAGGGCTTCGCTTGTCACCACTCCAAATAGTAAATCGTATTTATTTTGACCCCCTCTGATCCCGAAAATTCTGTCTCCGCTTCTTTTGTCCGCTTTGAAATTGTTAACGCCCGAGACACTTGTGAATCCTTGAAGATCGTTCGGTATGAAGAAAGTGAGCAGTTCCTTCGCATAATCCGTTTTGACGACAACACCATCGACAGACGGACCGAAAGCGGTGAGGTAGCTCGGCGTATTAATTTCTGCGGACATCAGCTCTTCGAGTGGCACCTCTCGAAGGCAGTCCACGATTAGCTCGTGGTCTTTCACGATGTCCTCGGGGAGGGTGCAGTTGGATTGCTTTGCCAGTTGGACGGAATAGCTGACCGGGTCCTCCACTAGTGCCCACGAACTTAATGCTGAACCAGACAGAAGGATCGCTCGTTGAAATAGACCTGGAAAAAATGGCATGTATTAAAGGAAATGTTTTTTTTGTAAATATTAATAGTTTTTTTTATAGTAATTGTAAATTTTAAAATAAACGATTTGTAATTGAAGACAATAATACATTTTTACGGTTTTTCATGTTTTTACACTGTATGAATTTTCTTAGTTACTTGCTTTGTTTAACGTAATATATGATTTATTATATCAACCATTAACTGTCCACTGCTGAATATAAGCCTGACCCTATTGGCAAATTTCGCCAGTAGTTGCCACGCTTGGCAGGCGAGTTGGCAATCGCAGTTAGATCTTGATGACGTTTTATTTAAAATTCCCTTAGTCGCCTTTTACGACACCCACGGGAATAGAAGGTGTGACCCATTCTATGCCGGGATCATACGACAAAATTAAATAGTATATGATAAAAACAAATTTATAAACATTTATATATGATACATGACTTTTAGTTTACAGCTTAAATAAAATATATACTCACGACTACAATTTCAAAAGGGGTAGTCAAATTTATTCATTTATTACTGTAAGGAAAGTATTTTACTCTATTCATCCACATTTTACTAAGCACACTTTAATCACAAAGTGGCAGAGCGAGCTTACCGCTGTCTCTTAGAATAATTAAGTTTATTAAGGGTGTTTTACGATCATCGGTTAGTAGGTCGGTTTAAATTAACACAAAATTATAGTGTTGGCTGAATTCAAAACAGATAGATATATATTTATTTATTTTATTTCCTTGTTTTCATGCTCGTAATTTTTTTTTCGTTTCATAACAATTCGAAATGGTACAATACACAGCAATCACACAATGGATGGATTTTACATAACAATTATAATTATATATATATATATATATATATATATATATATATATATATATATATATATAATACCTACGACTGAAGCGAAAAAAGAAAATTATTAAAAAAAAAAGAAAAAAATGTGATATCATTTTTAGGACGTGATATATTTATATATAAAAGTATATATAATAAATTTATATTATATCAGACAAAAAAAAAATATATATATATATAGAGAGATATATATCGCAATCAGTGAATGCAGATGGTTCAGGACTATTCTTTATGACCTATATTTAGCAATGGTCAATTAAATTAAGAAAAAATTAATATTAACTTACCGGGCATAACAGTAGGTGATATCATCAGGAAATTAATACACGCAGCACCGGACCCGTGGCCCAGCATGGTGACGTTGCCAGCATCGCCGCCAAACAGAGCGATATTTTGTTGAATCCAATGTAACGCTGCGATTTGATCCATCAACCCGTAATTGGCAACGCGCGCCTTCAAATGCGGTATTGGATTCGCATTTAGAAAACCTGCAAAATAATTTTATAATTAAATATATATATTAAAAAAAAAAACAGAACACCTACCTGATGGAGATTGGTAAGCACCACCCATACCCATAAACAATATGGATCTTACTTGATATAATGCACGTTTCATACCCTGAGAATTAGGGATGGAAGGGTTTGTTAGGCTACCTTTTTTTATTCAACTTAGAATGGCAAAGCGGACGGCCCACCTGATGGAAAGTGGTAATACTCGCCTATAGACAGGAGCACTACCAGAACATAACAGAGTATACTGTTTCGCCCATGATACCCACCATGCGTTGCCATTCCTGAGGACTCAGGTGTTATTCCTCTGTACCCTGTAAATTCATTGTCCAATTACTAGCAATATACCCTGTCAGATCGGCGTCCGCATGGTCCCCCCTGGATACCATCGTGCTGAATTCTAAGCGTATTCATCACGGTGGTCTAACTGACCTGCCTTTTTATTCTCACCTATCGTTCCTCACTGGTACCTCTCCAGCGTATACCGTTAACCCAGGCAGGGCTATCAGCGGTATGATAGCCCTGCCTACCTGATCATCCATTAAAAACAACCCTGAGGTTATCCTCAGGGTGCATAATACCTTTATAGGTATTATGCATCCATACCCTTTAATTTCATTGCCATACCCCACCCATCGAACCGAATTACCGCCATGGAATAACAACTACACTGCATCATATTTGCTTTTATAATATTAAAACCTATTGTTAACAAAAAGCTTTTCATAAAACAACCCATAAACTCTTTATGTTTACTTTTAATTAACAGTGTTTTCTATAATATTGATGGTACCTTACAACCGAAAATGAGTAGAATTCACAAATACCCCCATAGCAGTATAAAACAATTTAACATTATGTTCCGCCGTAAAAAAACTGACTTTTAAACTAAAACACTGAACTGATTTTGATAAAATTTTTTTTTGAGTTTTGAGTTTTGAATTTCATTAGTTATATATTAATTAATAATTAATGATATTTTTCAGATAAAAAAAATTCTAAAATCCATTTTAAATTAATGAAGTTATGAGATAACAAACATAGAAAAAAAACCTACACATAGTAAAAATTCCTACGAAAATTCAAATAAAGTAAGATATCAAAAATTTGCTAATAAAAAATACTAATTTTTCTTTCTATCCCTACCCGTGCAAAGACAGGCTGGATCGCTAGTGTAACATACAACTTAATACACAAAGCGTAAAGTGGTGGCTGTAACATTAATATTCACTAGAAACTACTAATTTACATTTAATATGCAACTCAATAATTGCCTTTTAATATTAAATATTACCCGTAATATTACGTAGGTAATATGAAATAGAAATTCCCGGAACTGTTTAAATTACTAACACTATCCTGTATAACTTTCAAGATTAAGACAACCAGTTAGCGTCTTATTACTGGGGATGAGTCTCCCCTTATAGAGGATGTAACTTAACTATAGTCAGATAGGGGGAGGGATTGTTAGTATTGTTGACCACTAGTCCCTTTGCTAGCAATATACCCTGTCAGGTCGATCTCCCCGTGGTCCCTCTGGAAACCATTATGTGGTTGTATTTGTCATGATGGGTTAACTCATCTGCCTTTTCATTCTCATCTATCACCCCTCACTGGTGCTTCGCCAGCATATACCGTTAGCGCAGACGGGGTTATCGTGACATTATCATCTATCCCAAAGTATAGCCAGACAGAGAGGAAGGGATTGCTAGTAATGCGGACTACCAGTCCCATTGCTAGCAATATTGCTAGCAAACAGTAAAAAACTTCTAATTATATAGAGTAGTATCGCAATAATTATTATATCAGCCTTTAACGGTCCACTGCTGAACATAAACCTCTCCCTTGGGGGGGTTTTGCCAGTAGTTGCCACGCTTGGTAGGCGGATTGGCAACCGCAGTTAGGCTTTGGAGATATTTTAAGAGGGAAGTTGCTGCCCATCCCTCGCCCTACATTAGTCGCCTCTTATGATACCCTGGGGAAAGGAAGGGATGGCCTATTCTATACCGGGACCATACGGCATCGCAGTAATATTTCTCAGTAATTGGTAAAATTTTGGTATGTATAAATGATTATGAAACAGATTTAAAAGTGTAACTCTTGAGTTTCTTGTGGGCTCTTTTCAATAGATAACTTTTCGAACCCTGCAGTGGATTTAAAACAAATTACGATTTAAAAGTACTGGTAAACAAGTCTTTTTGAATAAAAATGATTTGAATTTCAATTTGTATGGAAACAAGAAATATAATTTAAATATATTATAAAATTCCAGATTTTTTTTTCTGTTCAATAACGAACTTTATTGTAAATGTAATTGAGATTATTTCTTTTCAGTAACAAGTCAATTTAAAAATATATTATTGAACATATACGTTTTATTTGTGAAATTTGAACAATCAATTTCTAAGGGAGAGACTTTGTGCAAAAGTTGATTGCTTGGGTATCTCTGTCCCATTCGTATTTCAACCGCGAAGCAGGTGTGTGTATGGCGTGAAATTACTGGGTACAGAGAAATAACACCTGAGTCTTCAGGAATGGCAACGCATGGGGGTTATCATGGGCGAAACAGTATACTCTGTTATGTCCATGGTACTGCTCATGTCTATAGGCGACGGTTTTCCATCAGGTGGACCGTCAGCTCGTTTGCCATTCTAAGTTGTGTAAAAAAAAACTTATTTTAATAAAAATTCAATTAATTTTTCGCTCTGCCTACCAACAGCTGTATTTTATATTTATATTAGTTTTATTAATAATTAGTTTAAAAAAATATATTATATTTTTCTCTGTTAATCAAATAACGAATTTTAAAAATGTATTTAAATTTCACAAATAATTTAATAATGTACAGAAAAATAATGATACACAATATTTTTGTTTTCTTAATAATAATCAAAGTATTAATTAAAAAAAAAAAAAAAAACAATTTTATAAATTCAACCACTCTTTAGAATCAACTTCCAGCAGCAGTATTTCCGAACCGATACGACAACATAACCTTCAAGAAAAGAGCATATTCCTTTTTAAAAGGCCGGCAGCACACCTGCAATGCCGTTAGTGTTGTGGGTGATCATGGGCGGCGGTAGTCACTTACAATCAGGTGACCCGCATGCTCGTTTGCCTTCTGTGTTGTAAAAAAATATATATTCATTTGTTGACATACGTGTTTACTAATCTGTCACAAATAAATTCAAATTTAAATCACCTTTGTTCAAATAAACTCGTTTACAAGAATTTTTAAATCGTCATTTTTTTTAAAACTGCAACAGAATAGCTATTAACTGTCCACTGTTGGACATAGTCCTTTCCTTATTGGGGAATTTTGCCAATAGTTGGTACACTTGTCAGGCAGGCTAGTAACCACAGGCTTTGGTAGTGTTTTAAGAGGGACACTGCTCTATCCCTCGATAATTTTGTTTTTATACCACTGAAGTGGCAAACAAGCGTATGACCCACTTGATGGTAAGCGGTTACCGTAGCCTATGAACGCCTGCATTACTGAAGAGACCTCTTTACCCGCCTTTTGAAGAACCCCATGCTGTAGTCCATTGGGAAAAACTAGGCAGGCAGCTCATTCTATAACCAGAGTGTTCATGTATTTTTCCTTAGTCGCCTCTTAAACGCGCATGGGAAAGGAAAGGAGAGTTTTATGTTTTACTCACCTAATATTCCGAGTCTGTAATTAATAGTGATAACTACAATTCCAGCGTAACTAGCCAGCACAGCGCCGTCATACACATTCCCTGAATTCCACTCGAAGGATTCACCATGGATGAATATCACTACAGGATATTTGGCTTGGAGAGTTGGTCCGACTGCAACAAAAACGGGATTATTAATATAACGTGCATAAATGACAGGCAAAGTTTGCCCCGCAAACAGGTTTATTTTGCCCCACAAATGCAATAGTTGCCCCTAAAACCTTCACTCTGTATTTACAAATTTTGCCCCGCATAGGTTCTATTTTTGCTCCGTAAATGTAAAATTTGCTCCAGAACATATTAATTTTGCTCCACAATAAGGAAATTTCCGTCGTATAATTTACACTCGTTATGTCTACATTTCGTAGAACATATCAGAATCCTACGTGGCAGGAACTGAGTCTACCGTTGTTTTCCGGATAAATTTAACTATTTATCGGTGTTTTCAATCATCGGAGAATTAGTTCGATACACAAAGTTTTTAGGGTTGCCCCTGATTTAAATTAATGATTATAATTCCTAATCACGCACGCGAGATAAATAAGTTGAAATATTTACAAAATAGATTTACATCGAGACACTCTATCTAGAATGAATGAATGAATGAGTATATTTTATTTGCATTATACAATATAGGGAATAAGCAAGACAATTTACAAACACAACGATACAATTGTATAAAGTCGATTGCTTGGGTACCTCTGTCCCATTCGTGTTTCAACCGTGAAGCAGGTGTGTTTGCATGGCTGTATTTCAGTTTGAAGGGTGGGAATTTACTGGGTACAGAGAAATAACACCTGAGTCCTCAGGAATGGCAACGCATGGGGGGTATCATGGGCGAAACAGTATACTCTGTTATGTCCATGGTACTGCTCATGTCTCTAGGCGACGGTTACCACTTTCCATCAGGTGGGCCGTCAGCTTGTTTGCCATTCTAAGTTGTATAAAAAAGACAGCAAAGCAGTCTTATTGAGAGGTAATAACATGATCAAAGATAGTACAATATAATATCGTCATTATTATATCAGCCTTTAACTGTCTACTGCTGAACGTAAGCCACCCCCATGGGGGGTTTGCCAGTAGCTGTCACGCTTGACAGGCATGTTGGCAACCGCTATTAGGCTTTAGAGATGTTTTAAAAGGAACGCTGCTGCCCATTCCTCGCTCTCCCTAAATCGGTTCTTACAACACCCACGGGATAGAAAAGGGTGGCCTATTCTATGCCGGACCATACGGCCACAATATAAGATTGTCTCGAAAATATTGCTCTCAGCAATAAGACCGCCTTACTGTACTTATACAATTGTATCGTTGTGTTTGTAAATTGCCTTGCTTATTTCCTATATTGTATAATGCAAATAAAGTATACTCATTCAATAGCGGTCGACTGTGATGAGGTGATGAAATGATGTAGACACGGAATTTAGTAGCGAAATAAAATGTATTAAGCAGCAAGCAAGGAACAGAATAATATGATATATTAAAAAAAAATATATAAAATTGAAATTACAAATAATAAGAACATTCTAAAAGTAAATGTATATAAAAAAGTACAATATTGTCTAAAGAGTTTGCATCGGCCGGTCGCCAATAATAACTAATGCATATTCCATCTATTTATTCATCTAACCTATTTTACCCCGTTTAAAAACCTCAATATTTTAAAGCAATATTTAATTCCGAGCACGTACTGCGGTGTCACGCGAACTACATAGTTGTAACTAAAATCCTTGTATAACGGACTTTTCAGTGAAATGTTTCCAGTAAACACAGTATATAAGTACGTTTGTTCGGTTTTATCTATGTTTCGCATGACAGATCCATGCACAGCGAGTAGACAATGCTAGCTCAGATAGGTACGGTGCATTAAAATGAGTTATTTAACTTATTGAATATAAATTTAAATGTCAAAATGTTAAAATAGAGTTGGTTACCATCTATATATATATATATATATATATATATATATATATATATATATATATATATATATATATATATATATATATATATATCTCACCGTACTGGTTTCGCTTCAAATTCTTTTCTCCTACATTCTTCACGACTCTGGAACGCGCTTCCTGATATCATTAAGAGACTATCGACTAAACCGTCTTTAAAAAGAAAAACGTTCATGCTCACTTTTTTACTTTATCCGTGTAGTAAGTACTTTATATTAGTCTCCAGTTTAGTGTATGGTATAATACAGTACAGGTCATATATGTGTAAGTATATTCGTTATTTATTTATATATATATATATATATATATATATATATATATATATATATATATATATATATATATATATATATATATATATATGTACTGTGTGGACTGCCGTACAGTGAGCGTGGACTGTAGGGGCGTTGGTTCAGGCTGGAGTGAAACACAGGGATTAGTATTCTGAAGCCTCCGGTACCGTCTGAAGAGAGTATTTTTCTTCTTGTCCTATTTCTTCTCGAGTGTAGTGTGTCGCTGCCCGGAAGCGAATGCCGCTCGACGGGAGGCGGCCTATCTTTATACCCGCCCGCTCGCACGATAACGTTTCCAACTCGCGTTAGCGAATCTGCGCGAGCGGGACGGGGCGAGAAATGAGCGAGACGCGTGTCTCTTCAGATCGGTACTCTATAGAGTCTATTTATTTATTACAATTTATAATTTCTTAATTCTATTTATTGTTACAATTTCTATTTCTGTTCGTAGGTAATAATGACAACACACAAAGGAATACTTTATTTATCTTACACTATCTTAAATCTATGTAAATCTATATAAAACAACAAAATACAAAAAACGATCAAACTAGAAACTTAACAACTAACTATAACATTGCTATATATACAATAATGTCGCGAACATAATCTCCCGCCGCAGCTCTCGTAGCTGGAGTTAACTCGTGTTCGCGTCGCTCGATGTCGATGTGGGCAGTATGATCAGCTTCTTAGTGGGTCGTCGTAGGATGCCCTTGTTCGTCCGCACGTCGACTGCTCGAACCTCGCCGTCTGGTCCAGGGTAGGTCGCCACCACCACGCCTCGCGGCCACGTGTTGCGAGGCAGGGTCCCATCAGCTATTAGGACCAGGTCGTCCATTTTGATGGCTCCGTGTGTAGCTCGGGGCTCCCGCCGGTGTTGCAACTCGGGTAGGTACTCCTTCACCCACCGGTTCCAGAAGCAGTCGGCTAGCCTCTGGCTGGCACGCCACTCCTTGTGTCCCGCCGCGTCGCTCTCTGTGAAGCTGCCTGGCAGTGGGACGCGTGATGGACCGCCCAATATGAAGTGATTGGGGGTTAGGGCGCTGTCGTCGTCTGCCGATGTTGACACGTGGGTTAGCGGTCGACTATTGAGGGTGTGCTCGACCTCGACCAGCAGAGTGTGGAGGACCTCTTCCTTGGGCGCCCGCTCGTTCAACGTAGCGGCTAGTGCGGTCTTCACGCTACGCACCAACCGTTCCCACGCACCTCCCATGAAGGGTGCGCTCGGGGGAATGTAGCGCCACTGGATGAAATGGACTGATGACTCTTCTTGGATGGCTTCCTCGGCTGTCTTCTTCAGCTCGACGTCAGCACCTTTGAGGTTGGTGCCTTGGTCGGACCATAATTCCGTGGGACACCCTCTGCGGCTTATGAAGCGCCGCAGGGCCATTATGGCGGAGTCCGTGCTGAGGCTGCCGGCGATTTCTAGGTGGACTGCGCGCGTCGTTAGGCAGGTGAAGAGCACTCCGTACCGCTTCTGGTGAGTGCGGCCCACTGTCACGGTCATAGGCCCGAAGTAGTCTAGGCCGGTGAACGTGGACGGTCGCTGATGATGCGCCAGCCTGCTCTGTGGATGGTTGCCCGTTGATGGCTGCGCCGGTCTTGCTCTTCGTAGGCGGCACAGCTGACACCTCTTCAGTTCACTGCGGACGGCGTGTCGTAGGCGCAACACCCACAAGTGTTGTCGCACCTCGTTCGTGGTGATCTCGAAGCCGCCGTGGTGAAGTTTTCGATGCACCCATGCGATGTATAGGCGCACCCAGGCGTGGTTTCCGTCGACGATGGGGGGCTCTCGTTGCTCGGCTGACAGATCGGCGGCGGCTGCTATTCTCGATCGAAGTCGCAGAATGTCGTCGTTGTCTATGACGACTGACAGCTGTATGAGTCGACTGGATGACGGCAGCTGTTTTCCTTGTTTCAATACTGCGATTTCGTCGCCGAACGCCTCTTGTTGTATCGCGCGAATCCATAGCCGTCGCGCGCGATCTAGGTAGTGTGTGTCTATGGGGATGAAACACACAGATGGACTATTGCTGTTCTTGATTTTCATCTTCGTCTTCTCTCTATCGACTTTCTTCGTGCGGGTCCAAGTGGGGTCGGCGCTCTCTTTCTTCTTGTTTCTCTTTCGTATGGCGGTGCAGCGTTGACTGGTCGGTCGCAGGAGGTCGATGAACTGCAACACCCGTGCTGAACTGCGAACAAGTTTTAACCAATTAGAAAAACGTGACGGATCGGGTAATGCTATAGACAACTGCGTCGCGTTCTGTAGCTTGTGTACGCGTTCTTCTCCCGTTTCCGCTTGACTATCGTCGCTCGTACTATCTTCACGCGGCCACTGCTCTTCGGGGAGGTACAGGAAGTCCGGCCCACGGAACCATCTATGCTGCGAGCCGAAATCCGTCGGTGGGTCGCGTGTGGCGTCGTCTGCTACGTTGTGCCGCGTCGGTATCCATCTCCACTCGTTCGTCTTCGTTTCTTCGACGATCTCGGCGACTCTATGCGCGACGAACGGCTTGTATGCGCGAGGACCGGTGCGTAGCCATGCGAGCACGGTGCGTGAGTCCGACCAGTATACTCGGCGAGCGGGCTTCAGGTCGTGTTCTTCGACTGCCGTGCGCGATAGGCGACACCCGAGGACGGCCGCTTGCAGCTCCAGTCGCGGTATCGTGGTCACCTTGCTGAGTGGGGCCACTCGTCCCTTTGCCGCGATCAGCGACACGTGGACCTCGCCGGTCGCGCTTACGGCCCGCCAGTACACCGCACAGGCGTACGCGTCCGAGCTGGCGTCGACGAATGTATGCAGCTCCGCTGTATCGGCCGTGGCTACCTCCGGGTAGCACCGCGGCACCTCCAGCGCGGACAGCCGTCGCACGTGGTCCATCCAGCTCCGCCAGGCGTCTGCTTCCCGTGGTTGCAGCTCGGTGTCCCAGTCGATACCGGTACGCCACGTCTCCTGCAATATCTTCTTCGCCTGTATGGTGATGGGAGTGGCGAGGCCCAGTGGATCGAACAGCGACATGATCGCTCGTAGCGCTTCTCTCTCGTCGGCGTCTGTTCCCCGCTGGCTATCTGTGGCGGAAGCTTGTGTCCGTTGAAGTTGAAGCCTAAGGTGTCTTCAGAAGGTCGCCATACCATCCCCAGTATCTTCTCCGCGTCGAGTTGTGCCACGCTGTCCCCGCCGGTGTCGGAGAACGCGGCGCGCACTTGACGCGAGTTCGACGCCCACCGTTGGAGATAGTAGTTGGCTCGACCGTGGATCTGTGCGACCTGTCTTGAGACGCGTACGGCTTGCTCTTCCGTGTCGAAGCTGGCGAGGTAGTCGTCGACGTAGTGGTTCATGACCACCGCCGTTGCTGCCTCCGGGAACTCTTCCTTGTACTGTTCTGCGTTCTTGTTCTTGACGTAGATCGCTGTACACGGTGACGATGTTGCGCCGAATATGACACTCTTCATCCTATATTCCACAGGTGGACCCTCTCGTCGATCTCCTCGCCACAGGAACCGTTGCATGTCCCTATCTTCTTCCCGTATGGTGACCCGCATGAACATGTCCTTTATGTCCGCCGTGACTGCTACCCGTCGTTGCCGGAACCGCATGAGGACCCCCGGTAGCGATTGAAGTAAGTCGGGGCCCGGCAGCAGCGTGTCGTTCAAACTGATGCCCTTCGTCTTGGCCGCTGCGTCGTGCACGATCCGCAGTTTCCCCGGTTTCTGCGGGTTGATGACGGCGAAGTGTGGCAGGTACCACACCCGTTGGGAACTCCGTGGCGGGGCGACTTCAGCATACCCGTTCTTGAGTAGCGTGTCTATTTGCTGTTCATACCTCTTCTTAATTTCTTCGTTCTTGTCGAGTTTCCTTTCGACCAGTTGGAGACGTCGCATTGCCGACTCGTAGTTGTCCGGTGGCACAGGGTCGTCCTTCTTCCACAGTAACCCCGTCTCGTATCCTCCCGCCGGTAACGGACGAGTTTTCTCTTCTAAAATGCGCAGGGCGCGACGTTCCTCTTCATTGTAAGACCTCTTCGGTGCGATTCCCAGCGATTCGAGCGCGAAATGTTGCTTTATCATTTCTTCCATCGATTGTTCCTCTTCGTGTGTCGTCACTATGTGGCTGATTCTGTGCACCTGCTGTCTTGCCCTGCCGCGACTCGTACCGTGCAGTACCCATCCCAGGTCGGTGAGTGATGCGACCGGCTGCGTGTCGGATCCTCTTCTGACTTCGGGGGCCAGCAGTAGGTGCCAGTTGTCTTGCCCCAGCAGCACCGTCGGTTTGCCCTCTTCATAGACCAATTCCCTCTCTATGTCCTGTAGATGTGGACAGCCCTTGATGACGCTGCGCGGTACCGACTGCGGTGATAACTGCAGTCTGTCCATCGTCCGTGCCCCCACTGTGTATTCTTGTGAATTCCGCCCGCGGATCTTGAAGTGAACACGCGTCGATTGAGCTGCGTTGATCCGTGCCCCGGCCACACCTTCCATGTAGAATGGTGCGGGGGACCCGTAGCACCGATTCGCTCCGCCACCGTCGTCTCGATGATGGTGCAAGTCGACCCGTCGTCCAGTAGCGCGTAGGTGTCGCACGTTCCCGTGGGACCGGTGATTCGTATCGGCAGGATCTTCAGGAACGCGATCTTGTCGTTTTCCCTTGCCGATGCGGTGACTGCGGCGGACTTGTCCTCGACGACGTGTGTTGTTACTTCATTCTCCGGCTGTTGTCGCGTGGTGTGCAGCAGAGGGTGATGAGTCTGCGTGCACTCATCTACTCCACATCTCTTGCTCTTGCAGGCGTGGCGAAATCTTCTTACTTTGAGGCAACGGAAACACAGCCTATGAGTCTTCGCTAGCTCCCATCTCGCCGATGTGTCTGCTTCCTTCATCGTCTTGCAGTCCGATGGAGCGTGTCCCTCTCGTCGACACATCGGGCACGGTGGTGTAGCGGGTTTCTCCTGCGTCGTGTATGTCTTCGCCGTCTTCCTAGGAGCGGACTCCCGCCGGTCTTCGGACGGTATCTCCTCGGCGGGGGCGAAGTTTCCACATCGTGCGGCGGTCCTTTGCAGGAACTGAGAGAGTGTTATGAGGTCCGGTTGTCCCTCCGGTTGGTCGTTGGCGAAATCGTAGTACTTGAAGCGTAGTACCGACGGCATCTTTTCTGTGACGTTTCTCACTATTTCTTCGTTGTAGAGGTAGTGACTCTTGTTCAGCGCTCGTATCGTGGCGACGACGTTCTGCACCTTGCTTGCGAAGAGGCAGACGTCTCTTGCGTTGTCCGAGAGTCGTGGTAGCGCGCGGAGTTTGTTCAGTTCGGCTGTGACGAGTGCTCCAGGGCGGCCGAACCTCGCGGCTAACATCTTCATTACTTCTTCTGCGGTCGTAGACCCGACGAATAGGGAGCGTGCCGCGTCCTTTGCGGCCCCCTTCAAACTTCTGCGCAGTCTTGCTAGGTTCTCTTGTTCTGTGAGTTGACTTGCGCTCTCTTCATAGGCCATCTTCCATGGTAACCACTCGCTCGACGATCCATTGAAGACTGGCAACTCGGTGACTCTTGACGCTGTGGAGGGTAGTATGTTGCGAGCGGCCATCTGCATGGCGATCGCAAACTCATTACAATCGATGCCCACCTTCAGCACCGGTTCTTCCTTCTTCATCGACTGCATCGCTGCTGCTATCGTAGGCATGGCGGCATGTGGGTCAACGTGGCGTGCGTGGTCCCGGTGAAGTGCGTCGCTGCTCGGCTGTGGCGGCGGCGCTCTCGAATCCTCTTCAACGGGTCTCGATGGGACGAACCCCTGACGCTTGCCGGTGACTTCTTCTATCTCTGGTACATGCGGCTCCATCGTGAGTGCCAGCGTGCTTCGATGAACCCAATCCGACGTTCGTTCTCTTCTGACGGTAGCGTCGTCGTCTTCTATTTCCTCGTCGTCCTCTGATTCGGCTTCCAGGGCGGCGACACGTGCAGCGGCCAATTCCACCTCCTTTCGAAGTAGCTCTTCCCGTGCCTTGGCCAGAGCCTTCTTCTTCTGCGAGGCCGTGGTGCGAACCGTGCGTGCCGTGCCGTGCTTCGGTTCCTTCTTCCTTGCTGTCTCCTCTGTCGTTCCTGTGGCTTCGGTAGTCTCCGTGGCTCCTGTGGTCGTCGTATCGCCGGACGTGTTCGTAGTCGATGTGGTGGCGGCGGTAGACGACGTGGCAGCGACAGATGACGTTCTGACAGCCGCAGACGACGTGGTGGCAGCAACGGACGGCGTGGCAGCGACGGACAGCGTTCCGGCGGTCGTAGTCGACGTGGTGGCGGCGGACGTTGTGGCTTCGGTGACGGCGATTTTTTGTTGCGACGACTTCATGTTTCTCGTAGTCGGCATTTCAGCGATCCGGCTTCAGAATGGTCTTCCTCCAGCGATCCGGCTTCTCGATGTACCAACGGTGTTCCTCCAGCAATCCGGCTTCTCGAAGGACCACGATGTACTGTGTGGACTGCCGTACAGTGAGCGTGGACTGTAGGGGCGTTGGTTCAGGCTGGAGTGAAACACAGGGATTAGTATTCTGAAGCCTCCGGTACCGTCTGAAGAGAGTATTTTTATCTTGTCCTATTTCTTCTCGAGTGTAGTGTGTCGCTGCCCGGAAGCGAATGCCGCTCGACGGGAGGCGGCCTATCTTTATACCCGCCCGCTCGCACGATAACGTTTCCAACTCGCGTTAGCGAATCTGCGCGAGCGGGACGGGGCGAGAAATGAGCGAGACGCGTGTCTCTTCAGATCGGTACTCTATAGAGTCTATTTATTTATTACAATTTATAATTTCTTAATTCTATTTATTGTTACAATTTCTATTTCTGTTCGTAGGTAATAATGACAACACACAAAGGAATACTTTATTTATCTTACACTATCTTAAATCTATGTAAATCTATATAAAACAACAAAATACAAAAAACGATCAAACTAGAAACTTAACAACTAACTATAACATTGCTATATATACAATAATGTCGCGAACAATATATATATATATATATATATATATTTATTCGTTTATATATGTAAATTTAGTATGTATGTATATCAATAATTAGTAGTACCGCATTCGAGTATTCTGACCCTTCCCTATGGTTGACTGGGAGAGAATGCTTTTAGCATGAAATCCGCCATGTACATATATTTGTACTAATGAATAAACAAATAAATAAAGTTGGTTAAGGTAATAAACAAATATTCACCTAGCATTAGTTAGTTTGGTTTTAGGCGTGTGGTAAATAGAATAGGCCATTCCTTTCTTTCCCGCGGGTGTCGTAAAAGGCAACTTAGAGAATAAAAAAGTCAAGTTATGGGCAGCAGCGTCCTTTTTAAAACATCTTCAAAGCCTTACTGCAATTGTAAATCCGCCTGCCAAGCGTCACAACTACTGGCAAAATCCCTCAATGGAGAGGTTTATATTCAGCAATGGACAGTTGAAAGCTTATATGGTTATGATGATGACCTAAATTATCGCAATAATTCCCGTCACTTATAATCCATATTTACAGATAGTTTTTTTTTACATAAGAAGCGGTTTTTAGGCTTCACAAAGCAAAACGGCAACTTCAATAGTCTAAAAAAATTAAATGGGACCAACAACTCAGAAATTGCGACGTAGTCATATAGCTTAGCCGCAAAAAATATGGGCGTACTTATCGCTGACATACTGGCAGCTTTTACAGCCATTTATAATTTAGAAGTTCTTTTTTTTATTTTTTCATATTTCGAATCTCACTAATATTTTAAATGTGAAAGTTTGTGAAGACGTTTGTTACTCAATCACGCTTGAATAATTGAACGCATTCGAATGAGATTTGGTACAAACATATTTTAATAAATGATAACGGAATGGTAACCTCGCCCGCGCTAACGGTATAAAGTAGCGGGGCACCAGTGAGGTATGATATATAACCATGTATATATAATACTCTGTTCTGTCCATGGTACTGTTCATGTCTATAGGCGACGGTTACCACTTTCCATCAGGTGAGCTGATGAGCTTGTTTACCATTCTAAATTGTATAAAAAAAGCCCAAGGCAAAAACCGTACTTTATACAAGCCATATAAAATGACTGGGACAGGATTATCTTACCAATCTATAAAAAAAAAATCCTCTTATTCTCGTTATATTGGCCAGCCTGATGTTCAAAATGGAAACGTATAGGGTTATAATTATATTATAGTTTGATAATAGAAACGGGAATCATAGGATAGAAGAAATATATAAACGTTATGTCTAATTGCATGTACCGATAAAAAAAAATTAGCAAAAATAAAACAAAAGATAACATTTTAAATACATTTATAATTTTATACAATGTTACCGTGAGCTGTCAATTTCGTAATATTACTGATAGTAAACACAAGTTTTCAACACTTCCCGTAATATCTCGTCAATTTCTAGAGTAGACCTCGTAAGTGAGTCAGTAAAAATAAAAATAAATATGAAATTCAAGCTAAAACTATTCCACATTTTTTTTTTTTGTGGCACTCTTTAGATGGCAATCATTTGCGTCACATTCGACAGTATTTTTGTTAGTTAAGTTGGCACTATTGTGATTCCCTCATGTCACTAAACGTTGGCATGATGTTTCCTGACCAAATCTATACATTAAAAGCTAGTATGGAAGTTACGCAAAGCTGGTCCCAGTCAAGAAATAGACAGATACTCTTTATTGTTTCCTCCAAAAGATTAAAATAGTAAACTTATTATAAATATAAACAATTGCAAGAAATCTATATATTTATATAAATTAATGCCAGTTTTCGTTGTAATTTTATAACTCAAAAACGGGCTCACCTATACAAACCAAATGTTTAGGCTTTGTTTGCACTATTTAGTAGATAGTTTATGTGTAATTTGCACAAAATCG